TTGAATTTTAAATCGTTCTTAATAATGAGGTCTTAAGTTGTTTTTTTTTTTCTTTCTGGGGTATTAATGATGAACAGTATTTAATTCTCTACTTGAAGAAAATCCTTGAGGTGTGGCCGACTGGGGAGATAGCTCAAGTGGTAATGTGCTTGCTATTCAAGCATGAGGCCAGAGTTTGATCCCTAGCATCCAAGTAAAAAGCCTGGTGGGGTAAGGTGGCGTGCACTGTAAACCCAGTGCTGGGAGATGGAGACAGATGGGTGGGTCCCTGGGACTGGTTAGCCAGCCAGCATAGTTGAATCCATACACCCCAGGTCCCAGTGTGAGATTCTCAATACAGAAGGCAGATTGTACCTAAGGAGGAGGAACATCCAAGGTTGTCCTGGTTTCCATACATGTGCCTGCATGTGCATGTGCACCCATACAAGGACCTGTACATACACTGTGTAGGCATGTACACAGAATTCTTAAAACTATAAACTTAAGGCTAACGGAAATAAACATCTTTTCTGATGTTTCAATTCACATGAGTATAATACCAGCTCTGTTTATCCCTGGAAGGGCTAGAAGAGATGATAAGAAGAAAGTGCCCTTTCTGTGAAAGATAATGCATGTGGCCCTTGCCCAGCCCCCAATGGAATTGTCAAGGAGAGACAAGAAGTCTCTTCTCTGGCCCGGTATGATGGAGGAGACTGGAGGTTCAGGAAGTTTTATCACATAGTACCTCCAAGGTCCTGGCCCCTCATCAGTGCTTACCATGTGGGGTTGCCTTACTACACACCCACTGCCCTTCTCTTTTGGACTTTTGTCCCGTGTTGGTTTTGATTTTGGAGGAATCTGTAAAAGCCCTTGACTAGTTCAATCACTGAAGCTGAGGACGGTCATAGTTCAATCACTGAAGCTGAGGACGGTCACAGTTCCTGTTAATATTGTGTTCCAATAATGGCCAGAGGCTTCCTACAGGTTTGCTGCTTTGGCAGTAGTGTTTGTTTATGGGATGAATGGAAGAGTTTTGGTCCCTAAATGCCAAAGACACAGCTGCACAAGAACCGAGACTGAATTCCTCACGAAGTCCGAAGCCGAGCAGTTCTTTGGGTGTCTGTAGAATGAGCACATCTTATACAGTAGAACATACTCTTGTATGGTTGAACATCCCTGCAGATTAATTCCACCTAACTGCAGTGTCTAGGCTTCTTTTATCTAAAATAAAAATCAGAATAAACTTGATTGCTCTCCACTTTGTTTTCTGAGGCAAGGTCTTGCTGTTATCTGAAGCTCGCTGATTCTGGCTAGGCAGCTTGCCCTGGGGAATCTCCCGTTTCTGCCTCCTAAGTGCTGGAATTACAGGCGGCCACCACACCTTACCTGGCTTTTATGTGGATTCTGGGAATCAGAACTCTGGTCTCTCACTTGTGTGGCAAGCATTTTATCTACTGAGTCATCTTCCTGGCCCCTGTCTGTCCTTGAGACAGGGTCTCATGTAGCCTAGGTTGGCCTGGAATTTGCTGTATAGTCAAGGATGATCTGGAACTTCTGATCCTCTTATCTCACCTCCCCTAGTGCTGGGATTTCAGATGTGTCACCACCTGCCCAATTATGTGATGCTGGGGATTGAACCCAGGGCTTTGTGCATGCTAGACACTACCAACGGAGATACATCTCTGGTGCTGCCTTTACATTTCCAACCCCTCTTTCAGCTCTGGAGCATCAGTGGTGGTAGTTGGTGTCACTTATGTAAGCCAGACATTGGGCTTGGCCTCTGAAGGAAAGCAGAATATGATCCGACAAGCTGACCCTGGAAGTCAGTGGAAGCCAATGGCCACTGGGGGGCACAGTTGGTTTTGGTTTGGCAGCACAGCCTTTAAAAACAGCCTTTGACAAAGGCCTGTCTCCCCGTAGCTGGGCTTGGAGACCAGCCAGCTTGCAGGCTGGACTTGTGTGGAAGTGGGGGAGTTCCTTAAGGTGACTCTGTGCTGAGGTCCCTCGGATTGGCTCAGTCTGAGGTCCAAATTGTTAGCTGGTTTTGGAGGCAGAGGTGTCTGGATGTTCAGGTTTACAGTCCATTCTTTTCTGTGGTTCTCCAGGTCTAGTCTCTAAGCTTGGAGTATCAGGGGAGTGAATTAGAAATACAATTGTTGAGGCCCTTACGTACTGAATCAACCATGTGCCTCGGCCTCCATCATCCTTTTTAAAAAGGCCTCTGGGTTTCTGGTGCATGCACATGGCTGTAGATGATGCAGCCTAGGCCTTTGTCATTTTGTGTGGCAGCAGCTCACATCTGCCCAGGACTCACACCTGCCCCACCTCCCACCCCGGGAAGCCTTTTGCAAAGAATATCTCACCTTCTTTTATAAAGGACCTTGGAAACCCAGCACAGGTGCTCCCTTGAGTCACCCAGAGTCTTGTGACTGTGATACAGGGTGCCCAGCCCAAGCCCCCTTCCCACAGGCCTGGGAGGAGATGGGAGGCCTGGCAGCCTGGGCGGAGTGAAAGCACAGCGAACAGGGCAGAGCTGGCTGTGTCTGGATTTCTAATGGTCCCTTCCTCCCCAAAATGGTTGGGGGCCTCGAGGTGCCTGTCCTGGTGCCAGCGATCTTTTCACTGGTGCAGGAAGTCCATTCAGCCTGCATTGCTTTTAATGAGTTTTGCAAGCAAGTGGCCTCTTCCTGTGACTCACTCTGCCTTTTGTGCACCGGAGATTGTGGTTTGAAGTTTCACTTTGGAAAGTAACCACCACTTCTGCTGCTTTCTCTTGCTGCTGGAACCCGAACAAGTCACATTCATTTTGTAACAAAGAAATGTAAATGGAGGCGCAGCCAGTCATATTTCTGCCCTGATTGTAAAAACATCCTTTTCCGAGATGGATGACAGAGCCAAGCTGAGAAGAAATGGTTTATATTTTCAAGTTACACATTCATTTCAGGACTTTGCATTTTTCCTTCCAGAATCGCTCTGCAGTTTCACTTTTGTTCTTTGTCTTTGATTCATTTTTTAGGGCTATCTTAAACACATAGTGTTTGTTGGTTGGCTGAACCTCTACTTGATTTAAAGTGACTTAGTTCTGACCAGTTTGGGTTCTTGCTGTCAGCACAGCTAGAATGATGCTAATAGAATTTATTGAACAACAAATTGTTTTTCATCTGGACCTTCCCTGGTGATCAGTTCATTAGCCCTGCTTTTGTGAATTTCTTAGGATTAAACCAGTATGGGTTAAGTGGACAAATACGAAGAGCAGTTACCCCCTTAAATCTAAACAGAGTCATCTTCGAAATGTTGCAGGATTGAACCAAATATAGTAATGATAATTATTATATTACTACTACTACTACTACTATTACTACTACTGGTTTGAGACAGGGTCTTATGTATCCCAGGCTGGCCTGAAACTGGAACTTGTTGGGATTATAGGTATACATCTCATTTTATGTGGTGCTGGGAATTGAACCCAGGGCCTCATGCACGGTAAGCAAATACTCAACCAGCTAAGCTATAGCCCCAACCTCAAATATTTTTTTAATTGAGACAGGGTCTTATGTATCCCAGGCTGGCCTGAAACTGGAACTTGTTGGGATTATAGGTATACATCTCATTTTATGTGGTGCTGGGAATTGAACCCAGGGCCTCATGCACGGTAAGCAAATACTCAACCAGCTAAGCTATAGCCCCAACCTCAAATATTTTTTTAGATTGATTTGTTTTTAATGTGTATGAATGTTTTGCCTGTCTGTATGCATGTGTGCCCTGTGCATGCAGTGCCCATGCAGGCCAGAAGAGGGTGTCATATCATACCCTGGTACTGAAGTTACAATTAGTTATAAACCTTCATATGGGTATTGGGAACCAAACTCCAGTCCTCTGCAAGAGCAGCAAATGTGTTTAACTGCTGAGGCATCTCTCCAGCACCTCCAATTTTTAAAATATAATTCTTTTTAAATATGTACATATGCAGTCTCCTGCAATAATAAAGCCCAAATGCATTTAAATTAAGTGCAGATAAGACTGCAGTGCTCAGAGTTCCAATTAGCATTAATGTTATGTAGTGGAAAATGTTGATGTGAGCTTGTGAAATAATGCTGGGTTTGGGTTTATAATAGATGCATTTGTGTTTGACATTTCATTTCTCCAGTTGATTCAACTTTTGTGCACAATGAACTGCCATTTAAACAATCCTTGTCATTAACACTGACTTCTACAAGATGCAGGAATGAAAAGTCTTGTTTACATCCACACCTGTTCATTGATTAACTGTTACAAATTTTCTTCTGGTTTCTGGAAGCTAGGGCCTTGTACATGTGAGGCAGGCCTGCGGCCACTGAGCTACAAACAGTCTCAATCAGTCATCTTAGCATAAGTGGATGGATGTGACCCTGGCTTGGATACAGGGCTTTAAAATTCTTTGTGTGTGTATGTAGGTATATGTGTACCTGTGTTCATATGTGTGGGCATGAGTGCACACCTGCTGTGGTGTGTGTGTGTGGAGGTCAAAGGACAACCTTGGGTGTCAGTCCTCACTTTCCACCGAGTTTGAGATAGGGTCTCTTATTGTTTGCTGCTGTGTGTACCAGGCTGGGTAGTCTGTGAACTTGTGGGGATTCTTTGGTCTCTGCTGCCCGTCTCACTGTAGGAGGATTGCAGGTGTGATATTGCATCTGGCTTTACATGGACACTAGAGAACTGGACCTAGGTTCTCATAACTCTGCAGCAAATGCTTTATCCACTGAGCCAGCAACTACAGTCAGCAGTGTTTTCTTTTGTTGTTGTTTTTGTTTTTGACAAGGTCTTGCTATGTGGCTCAGGCTACATGTTAACTCACGGTCCTCTTGCCCCAGCTTCCTGAATGCTGGGAATGAAGATGTTTG